GTAATCACGACTTCATAAGTGGGAAATAGGAAGTTTCCGATAGCACGTGAAGACAGCAGAGAAGTGCTCTCGCTCAGCACAGTGGAGTGCATCATTTTGTTAACTTTGTGCTTTATTATTTTGAGTCGTTTGGGATGCGGTAACATCGTTTGAATTTTCCCTCTTTTCCTTCACTTTTAAATAGCTTAAAAGCGGCGTGCGCATTTTACTTTCACTTTCAAATAGTGGCAATTCGGCGTAAAGCAATTGCTCGTTTTCAGTTTGTTTGAATTTTCCCTCTTTTTCTCGCTTTCGTTCGCTTTTAAATAGGTTAAAAGCACCGTGCGCATTTTACGAATTGGAGGCAATTTGGCGTCAATTGCTTGAATGCAACAACAAAATACAACGTCAAACTCACTTTAGCCTATATATAAAACATACAACTTTTATACTTTTATTAACAAAACGAATAAAAATACACCATGCTATAGGGCAGGCTATGACTAATATAAAATAACAAATAACTTTCATAAAGTTTAAATAGGTAGCCTATACAAAACTATAAATAAGTAAACGTATAATATATAACCAAATAAATAAGAAACGTAGAAAGTTTATTAGCAAAACGAGTAAGAAAGCTTTGAGGCATGGCATACACCTTGATGTCAAATAAAATAAATAAATTACACAAAGTTTAAATAAAGTAAAAATCAGCAAACACTGTGGAACCAATTAAATAAGAAACAAATGTTTAAAAAAACTTCCAAAATCACCTTAGATAAACGCCGAAAGTCAACAGGTTTTCAAAATCCAAAATAATGCCAAACAGGCGCTTTTGCATTTAGTTTCGAAACTAAATAATCCGCCATTGTCTTGTCTGTCTCACCTCACTCTTCTTGTCAGTCAGCTCGACTCACTCTCCTCACTGGAGAAATTAAATCTGATCTGTGATGCGACTGTCGTTCGGCACGCTGCATTGAGCAGCCACGTTCAGTTTTTAATTGTAGTGTCTGTTCTTTTACTAAACTAAATGATTTTTATTACTATAAAAAAATCAAAACGACGGTGGGGGTCAGTGCCGCGGTGGGCAAGTGACGTAAGCGGTGTTGGGGCTTAACAACAGTATCACCGTCAGCACCATCTATCGCGGCAAGCCTACTCTGTTGCCGTTTATTGCGGCTGGTCTGTTTCCTCCTCAGTGTTTCCATGGAGGCAGTGATGTACAGTCAGGCGGTCGTTATGTTAATGAGGTGGTAACGAGTTATCTGCGCTTGTCGCGTCTGCCCTTTGAGGCGCACAGTCAGCGGTTGCTTTAGCGCTCCTCTGGGTTTGAGAAGTCCAGCTTTTGTGGCACAGCGTCAGTCCCACAGCGTCTCGTCAAGATGCGCACATTGGCTTTTTTCAGCCTTGCTTTCTACGTATGCAGCTCCCTTCTAAAGCAGTATCCTCACTGAAGAGGAACCTCGTATGTGGCTGATTTGAAACGCCCTTAGTAGCGTGTGACTGGCTATTATCATTGTTCTTTTCTATATTGTTATAATATTTGTTGTTATTTTTATTTTTTATTTTATTTAGATTAATTAGTTATAATATTTATTATCATTATTAGCATGGTTTTTATCATTAGTTTGAAGAAACACCATCTATGTCTGGATGGTGCAGCTTGGACACATCCTCAGTGATGAACCCTAAATAAATAAATACTAAATAAGCGAATAAAGATGTCGAGCTTAAACTTCAACATTAAAATTAAAATGGAAACAGAAAATGTATTAAAATATAAAAATGTATATGAAATTTCAGACCTAAATTAATAACAAATGTAACTAATATAACACGAAAACTTTTGATAAATTAGAACTAATAACACATATTATAACTAATAATGTAAAAACAATTAAATACTATATTAAACAAATAATGATTATAAATATTTCAATATGAACTTATATTTTTTGTTTTTATATTATAACATTTCTAATCATTGTAATTTGTTTAATATATTGTTTTTTAATCAATTATTAATATTTTTGTTATCATTAGTTATATTTTTTTTGTTATTTTTATTCATGTAGTTTGCATGTATTAACAGAACATACTATATAAAATAATCAAATTCAAAATATTAAACTATAATGGTATATCAACTATACTAAAACAGCACTGATTACGTTTTAAATATTATTAATATTATTTGTTTTTGTTGTTTTTATTTTAGTTATAATTAGTGCTGTCAAATGATTAATCGCATCCAAAATAAAAGTTTTTGTTTACATAATATGTTTATATACTGTGTACTTTATGTATATATAAATACGAACACATGCATGTATATATTTAAGAAAAATATGTAATGTTTATACACTAAATATATTTATATATAATATAAAATATAAGAATATAAATGTATATACATGTAAATATTTTCAAAATATATACTGTATGCATGTATTTTTATATATGCATAATAAATATAAACAGTACACATACATATATTCTGTAAACAAAAACTTTTATTTTGGATGTGATTTAATCGCGATTAATCATTTGACAGCACTAGTTATCATTTTTCATTTGAATTATTTGTAATTATTTTTATATTATAATATTTGTTATCATTACTTGTTTTATTATTTCTGTATTAATAGTTGTTAAAATGGGATTAAATGGGAACTAAGTTGTAGTCTTTTCTTGTGGGCCTGTTGTGTTTTCTCGGAGTAAACGTCAGCTTTGTTTGAGACTCTCCTCCTGGCCCTAAATTTATTTGTACTTTTTCATAAAAAAAAAAAAATGCTTCCTAGTTGCATGAAATGCAGGAAACCTCCATAATTTGAAATCTGCGAAACCGTGAATGTGAAAGTCAAAATTTTAATAATAATCAAAAAATGGTATTTTGTTTTGTTTTGTTATTAATATATGACCTTTCAGATCTAAATTAATTACAAATATAACTAATATAACATGAATATTAATACATATATTATCATTATATATTTAGTGAAGAAGAATAATGAGGATAAATTGTAACTTATAATAATTACAAATATTCTAATATTAACTAATATTGTTTTTGTATTATAATTTTTGTAATCTGTATAATTAATTTAATATATGTTTTTGTGTCAATTAGTTGTATACTTATATTAGTTATAATATTTATAATTTATTTAATTATTATTATTAGGTTTTTATA